GGTGCTCAATCAACAGTAGGAACACAAAACCTGGAGCAGCAGCCCAGCCCCTGCCAGCAGAGTTAAGCCTACAGGATGCTAGGATGCTAGCACGTTAGCAGTCTGACGTTAGGATGCTAGCACGTTAGGAGTCTGACGTTAGGATGCTAGCACGTTAGCAGTCTGAGGTTAGGATGCTAGCACGTTAGCAGTCTGACTTTAGGATGCTAGCATGTTAGGAGTCTGACGTTAGGACGCTAGCATGTTAGGAGCCTGACGTTAGGATATAAGCACGTTAGGAACCTGACACTAGGAGCCTGATGCTAGGATCCTGATGTTAGGATGCTAACACAGTAGGAGCCTGATGCTAGGAGGCTGACGCTAGGATGCTAACACATTAGGAGCCTGATGCTAGGAGCCTGATGTTAGGATGCTAGCACATTAGGAGCCTGATGCTAGGAGCCTGACGCTAGGATGCTAACACATTAGGAGCCTGATGCTAGGAGCCTGAGGTTAGGATGCTAGCACATTATGAGCCTGTTGCTAGGAGTCTGATGTTAGGATGCTAGCACGTTAGGAGCCTGAGGTTAGGATGCTAGCACATTAGGAGCCTGTTGCTAGGAGTCTGATGTTAGGATGCTAGCACGTTAGGAGCCTGACGCTAGGATGCTAACACATTAGGAGCCTGACGCTTGGAGCCTGACGCTGAGGTAAGGAGCATGCACTGATTACAGTGCGCTGCTGCACCCACCACACGGCAAACCACTTCAGGGATGAGAACCTGAGTACAGCAACGTGGCAGGTGATATCCTAGGATCCTGGGGGCCTAGGAGCCTGACACTAGGAGCCTGATACTAGGAGCCTGACGTTAGGAACCTGATACTAGGAGCCTGAGGTGAGGAGCCTGATACTAGGAGCCTGACGTTAGGAGCCTGATGCTAGGAGCCTGACGTTAGGAGCCTGATACTAGGAGCCTGAGGTGAGGAGCCTGACACTAGGAGCCTGATACTAGGAGCCTGACGTTAGGAACCTGACACTAGGAGCCTGAGGTGAGGAGCCTGACGCTACGCACCTGATACTAGGAGCCTGATACTAGGAGCCTGACGTTAGGAGCCTGATACTAGGAGCCTGATACTAGGAGCCTGACGTTAGGAGCCTGACACTAGCAGCCTGACGTTAGGAACCTGATACTAGGAGCCTGAGGTGAGGAGCCTGACGCTAGGAGCCTGATACTAGGAGCCTGATACTAGGAGCCTGATACTAGGAGTCTGACGTTAGGAACCTGATACTAGGAGCCTGAGGTGAGGAGCCTGACGCTAGGAGCCTGATACTAGGAGCCTGACGTTAGGAACCTGATACTAGGAGCCTGAGGTGAGGAGACTGACGCTAGGAGCCTGATACTAGGAGCCTGACGCTAGGAGCCTGACACTAGGAGCCTGACACTAGGAGCCTGACACTAGGAGCCTGAGGTGAGGAGCCTGACGCTAGGAGCCTGATACTAGGAGCCTGACACTAGGAGCCTGACACTAGGAGCCTGACACTAGGAACCTGATACTAGGAGCCTGATGACAGATAGTAATTAAAATGGATGATTAGCATGAGCAGTGACTGGATGCGTTCCTTTGGGGGGGGATAGCATGCTTATCCTCAGAGGCTTTGAACGAGACAGACACACAGTACAACCCGTGGACCGAATCTCCGACCTGGGACTGGCTGACACCAAAAAATAGGAACCGTCTGCTAAACTAATGTGTCTGGTGTGAAATCATGCCCTCTGCCCATGTGCTTGGACCTCTAAACACACCCGGCTCATGGTGGCAGTGAATCACCCATTCGCTGGGTGGTTCTTCTGTTTGCTCGTCGCCAGCATTAAACGTGGGTCAGACAGCTCTGTTATGCGACCCATTACCGGGAAAACGGCATGGCTCTGGACTCCTCGGCCTTATCTGAAGGCGCCTCCATGACTTACCGCATGATCCCAGAGCAGGATGAACCTCTGCCTTTATTCAAAAAATGCACGTCACGCTTCATGTTTGGATGCATGAGGGGAAAAAAGCATCAAATGATTCCTGTAGCTGTCAAAACACAAGATCTCTGTACACAGATAAGTACTACAACAATGTTATTATCTGACTACAATATACAATACTACACATAACACTGAAGATCAAGAGAGACAGGCGGCTGGGAGCTATTTCTGTGTTTTCCTTTATAATTTTCCTCTTGTTCATGTCAGAGAATGAAATACATGCATGAACACATCATCATCCAGGTATTAGCTGGCTCTTTATTGATTGGTGGTAAAAAATCAACCTTGGGACATTTCCAAGGCCATTTTTCGAACTGTGCTAACTAAGCCTTTTGATAAAACAAGAACATCTGAATAAATGCATGATTTACATTTAATTTTCTACTGTACCTCGAAAATACTTGTTGATAATCAGCAACTTGGTTTCATGTTAATATCTCCAGGCTATATTTGTTTAGCTCATCTGTCCTGGAGGATTTTACAGTACCATGAAATCAAAGTCAATAGCTATGGACCGCCCACTCATCTGAAGAGCCAACCAGATGCCAGTATCACAGGACCTTGTGTGTCATGTGACAGTTCCGGTGTTGGCTCCAGCTCGCCTCTTATCTAGCTTCTTGCATTGCTTGGATGTTTCAGGCAGGAAATAAGTGGTCATTTAGCAAAATGAGCTATCTCCCTTCCATCCACGGAGAGACGTGAGCGCCCAAAGTAAACACCTGCCGATCTACACACCTTGGGGATGCAATTCCCCCAACTCAGCTGAGACTTCAGTGACCCAAGCTGCAAATCGCCTAATTTAATGCAACCCTAAAATAAAGCCGCTCGGGCAGAGAGACACACTGAGTAATTGTTCTGGAGAAGAACTTCCATCATCTGTGCTGAGGAACAGTGGGATGGTTATGGCTCCATTCCATCATTTTGAGAACTTAAGTTGCATCATGACAGTTTTAGCCAGATGTACAACTGAATATTTTTTTTGCTTTTGTTTTCATAGAAGCTGCCAGAAGGACCCTACGAGGCCATCTTTGAGATCTGGAGCACGGAGCCAACAGGATTGAAGGCCATGTTCTGAACTTAAGGGCTAGACATCTGAAGAGAAGATCACGAAAGTCTGGTAGCTAACGTTTCTCAGCCAGTCCTAACTGCCTAATGTCTGGAGGCCTCCTAAAACACCACAGCCACATAGACGCACCCAGTCCTCAGTGCCTTAGAAGTCATGCCAGAGCGTGTGTCTGAAGTGAACGACTGTGAAAGGACAAGTCATCAAGAGACAGGAGTCAGAATTACTACCTCTCTGTCCTCCACAGCACCACCGTGACCCCCTCCTCCCTCCAAGGTGACACCTGAAACCCTCAGAAGCCCAGAATGCAGGAGCACGTGGACAGCTCACCTTCACCTAGTAGAGGAACCCTGAGTCTAATAAGACATAAACCGAGGTACAGTAGGTGTGACTCACTGGGGATCCCAGGTGAGGCTGAAGGCGAATCACCCACAGCCCGCGCTGTGTCCCCACGGTATCATGCTCACAGCCTTCAGGTGTGTCCAGAGTTGCTCTCCGGCTTACAGGACAATTCGGGTGTGATAGGAGGAACCACAGCGCTCAAAGGCATCCCTGGCAGATGAAGACGCACCCCCCGCCACACCATCCCGTCCCATAAAGTTCACCATTATATTTTTTATTTACTTATTTGCTTGTGGTTATAAAGCCAGTCGCCCCCCTCAGGCTGTTGGCTGTCATGGAACGAAGAGCTTTTGTCAGCCCATAAATCACCATTTCTCCAGTAACGTCCTTCTCTCACCCAAATGACATGCATTGAAATGGATGCATTTTGTAGTAGAATATTCAGCACCAAGACAACACCCGTAAAACAATCTGTCACCCTACCACTTACCCCTGGGGAGGGGGGGGGGGGGGGGGGTTCGCGGGGGGTGCACAGCAGGCCAGTCCACACCCTCAATCACACCTTTGGGCCAGCTGAGAATGGCCCTTAGCCTGCACATGCAACACACAGACTGCACATAGCGCACAGAGCGGAGGTGGGATTCCAACCAGCAGTCCCTAGGTGGGAGGCCACGGTGTTGCCCCCTGTGCTACCACACTGAGCTGTCAAACTGTATGTATTTCCCTCACATTGCCAGAAATACAGAATATTCTCCTGCTAAAGTGCCCATAAAGCAGAGAGATGCAACAGAGCCATTCTAGCATGATATTACCAGGGGCTGTGTAGATTTGAGCTGTTGGGTTAGTTTGGGTTAGGCTGGGAAGATGCCCACTGTCAGGAAACTTGCTGCTATGGTGCCTGCCAGGTAGAGGAAGGGGCGGGGCTTATAGTAAAATAGGTGGGGGAAGTGGCAGGGCTTACAGGTACAGAGAAAGGTGGGGGAAGAGGCGGGGCATACAGGTAAAAAGGTGGGGGGAGGGGCAGGGCATACAGGTAAATAGGTGGGGGAAGAGGTGGGGCATACAGGAAAAAGGTGGGGGAAGGGGCGGGGCTTACAGGTACAGAGAAAGGTGGGGGAAGAGGCGGGGCATACAGGTAAAAAGGTGGGGGAAGGGGCGGGGCTTACAGGTACAGCGAAAGATGGGGGAAGAGGCGGGGCATACAGGTAAAAAGGTGTGACCCTGTACCTAATGAAGTCTAATGTGGTTACCTATGTCAGATCAGGGCATGGTTACCTACCAAAGATTACAAGGACACCAGTCATTCATTGAATTGTTATTGAGACGGCAGCAAAGAGAGGGCTTGAACATCAATCTCTCTGCAATACGTTCAGAGATAGATGGACAACATGTCAGCTTATCGGAACGTTTCCTCCAGTGAGTCTGGAGGGCGGCTTTAACTTTGCGGCTTTAACTCCTATAACTAACATACACAGATCATGGAATCTAGCAGCCCCAGCTGGGTGGACTCACATCCCATAATACTTAATAAATATTTAACACCAGCGTGGCTTGGAGAACATGAGAAAAACTGGCTTTGTCTCTTACCTTCATAAATCGCCTTAAATCCTTGAGCGCTTACGGCGAAATCAGTGGTGAACCACAGTGCCAGGATTGATCCCGTGCTCACGATCGGAGAGGGTAACATGAATCCCGACAGCCTGAAAGATAAACACACAACATGGAGACAAGGTGAGTTACAAACAGAGACATTGCGGGGGGACTGGCCTTTCCATTTAGGGCCGAAAGATGTCCCTCTCTGGCCAAATGATTAGACATGAAGTTTATAAACTTTACCACTCCAGCAGTTGCTCAAACTGGTATAAATGCTCAGATACACCATCTGGGTAGCTGATTATGTTTCTCATACAAACTGCAGTCAATGTGAAGAAACAACTGAAGTGAGTCCAGGAGAAAATGATGCTGCAGACTTTGATGCTGCAGCTAAGAACAGCGAGAGACGGGGAGCGGGAGGGAGGGGGGCACAGGGGCGTTCATCTCGCTTTGCAGGAGAAAAGAACAAGAAAGCGAGAGAGCAGTCAGAAGACTGGGGCGGCATTAAGCAGCAAGATGTTCAGGGTCGGTGGTAAATAAGCAAGAATGAGTAAGAATGAGGCATTCATGGAGATTCATCTTCACAGGAATTAATTCTCCTTTTTGGCTATATATAATTAAAGGCTTGACAACATCAAAACACTGGGATAATTATGGACCAACCTTCAGATCCAGAATCTGAGCATAAAGGGAGAAAGGGGCCCTACATCTGCTGCCTTCATGGTTGATGTGACCTTCCGGAATGAGTAACAAATGATTCCAAGTGTGACTTCACCTGACAAACTGAGGTTTGGGCACCCCCTATTGGCCACAAACAGTCACTACACTGTGGGGACATAGGGCCCTGAAGCCACTTTCTCAATGGCCCCCAAAAGTAACAAACGTGCCCCTGACAGGGCCCCCAGCCCTCTGATTTTACCCCAGCCTCCTGAGAGCATAGTGATCACAATGCAAGGGTTTAATTCGCCCTCCCCTGACCACCACACAGGCAACTCTTTGGGCAGCCACTCCTCCAATCAGCATTAAGGTCTTCATTCCAGCTGTGAGCAACCAAGAACGTGGTATCATAAGGGCACAGGCTGGCTACCCTTAATTCTCTGGTCAGTACGGGAACAAGTCCCAGGGTACAGAGTATCAGAGACAATCAAAGGCAGCTAAAGTGGAACAGAAATGCACCAGGCCTGGCTTACATGACTGTGGTGGCAGTCGGTTAATTAGATTGTAATTGTTGTCATTTGGAAAGTCCTTGAATAAACAGAAGTGTAACAGAAGCATGACAGATCTTCAGCACAGGAAATGCAGTGTAATTACCCATGTCAAGGGCGGCAGGCACATATCAAACAGAGCAATGAGCAAAACAGTATTATGCTAATTCAATCATTCACACCAATAAGGAGAAGATATGCAAATTAGGCAAGGTCAAAGGTTAAACAGATTCCCCTCTGTGTGTGCCTGATAAACATCCATTCAGAAGTACGGAGTAAGAGTCACGTTAGGAATGTTCTGGATCAGAAATGAGCTGAGTAAACTTTCCACTGCATATTGCAAATGTTAATAGAATAGCTAACAGACAATGTCTCTCTTTAATTGGTTCTCCTAGCCGTTAATTTTGACTAATTTTGTTTTGGCCATATGGTCACTGAATGTACTCTATTTCTGAGCAACTCCCCTCAGGAATGCCCAGCTTGGGAGATTAATTAAAAATGTGAAAAAAAACTCAGAGCTTGGGACTAAAGTACTGAAACTTCAAGATAAGAATCCCAAAGCCTTCTCTAGCAGTGTTGTGGAGAGAGCACATCCTTCCTGTGCACGTTTCCAATTTCACTGTCTGTCTTTTAATGGCTGTCGGAATCCCGGGACTCGCTGTCACTCCACCTCTTACAGGAAAACATGTTGCCACCTCGATTTGATGTGATAAACTGACATTATTATGTGGTATCGCATTCAATAAATGCTTAGATCTAGTAACATTGCAAAGAATGGAGACTTTATTCAGGTCCAAAGGTGAACAGGATGTAACAAAATACTGTAAACAAAAGTCGGATGACAGCCAGGCAGAAAGGCGAAGTGAATGCATTTTGCAGTGTGTTTGCAGTGTGTTTGCAGTGTGTTTGCAGTGTGTTTCCAGAGAACCGGCACAATAAACGGGTGATTCCTGTTTTTGGTCACATATTCATGTCCTCGTGTTTAACTGGCTCTTATTCTTTTATAATATTAGACAAATCTTTATAACAAACCTATTTTATTACAGTATGTGTTTAGGTGTTTTCTATTGCTCTAACAAAGATAAATTTTTGTTTTTATCTTTTTACATCTCTTTAAAGCACAATTTCTCTGGAATATGCGCTCATTTTAGCATGTCCCAAATGCAATGCATTCAACTTCCTCAGTAAATATAAACTATAAAATTATAAAAACCAAAACTTATTCTTTATTATTTTGATAGACTAGGGTATACTACATTTAGAGAAAGAAACAATTAATATATAATATATAATTAATATATAATTATATAATATATTATATGTCCCCGCATTCATTTTCCAACCTGTGAGCCTCTAGTTTCTTGACTCCCTAAAAAGATTACAAATCCATACAACCATTTCCACGAAGTGACATCATTTGTTTTTGGGGGGAAATTCAACTGGAAGACTAAGGTAAGCTTTAACTGTCACTCTCTTCTGTATTTTTCTCAATTTTATATTACACACCGGTTTGAGGCACCCTTAAAGTTCCACCCTGTTAGTATACATTATGGGAAATATTTATTGGAAAAAATATTTTTAAAACATGTTAAAAATAGCTATTTAAATGCTGATCAGCTGTAGAGTGTGTGCTAGCTAAATGCTGCTCACTCAGAGCTAGAGCTAAATTAGCTAGAAATATTCCATCCTGTTAGGTTCCACCCTGTTAGGCTATGTACAGTATGGGATATGCAGCCTACTGAGTAGAAATTGTACAAGAATATTTATTATTTTCAGTAAAATGACTTGTAGATTTATTATTTGAGTGTATTTCTTGTGTATGATAATGAATAATAATGGTATAATCAAAAAGTATTATTATTATTAGTATTATTATTATTATTTTCTGAGTGTATTTCTTAATTATTTGTTACTACAGTGGTATTATTATTACTATTATTATTAGTTGTAGTAGTAGTATTGTTGTTGTGAATCTGAATCTACTTGTTAAGAGGCCGATTGTTCCACCCTGTTATATTCTATTACACTCTGTTAGGCAATGATTTAAAAAAATATTCTAATCACAACAGTAAGTGTTTGGTATATTTGTATATTGTTTTGTTAAATGAGGTACATATAATGCATCTACATATACTTTTATTTCTAATTAATAAAATTCCTCATACAAGACAACAAAATGGGGACAAAAAATGCACGGATTCCATTATTCTGACATTGTACTCTTCATAAAATTAAAACTGTTAATGCTACAAGAATGAAACTTTTATCATAGCAAAAGGGACACATTGTATCCCAGAAAAGTTCAGTATTGTTTGACTTGTACATTATTTAAACTCTGTGATTACCATGTACATGTCCCTAACAGGGTGGAAAACGTCTGGAGAAATATATACAAAAAACATCCCATAATTATAATATTTTCAACCCCTGATATTGGTAAACATGCATTCCTCATAGCTAAGTATGGTATAGTCCTGACAAAATGTTTAAACCATAAAATACAATCATTCCAATTTTCAGAAAACAGATAGCCAATTATGTGGTTCAAAACAGGAATCACCCAAACGCGTCTTTTAATTTTTTAGCCTTTGTGCAAGACAACAAGAGTTTCTGCAGGTTGTCTGTTGAGATCCCATAAATCAGCTTCATCTCATACCACCTATTTCAGTCCTAGCTGAAGTGAACATAACCCTATGATCCTTCACGGCGTAAATGCCATGCGACATTGTAATGTGAAAATAGAGGAAAGTACATCACAGCCTGTGCTATCGGAGTGTAACAGAGATGGGTTTTAATTCCCAAAGGCCAGTTGCTGCTCCAAGATCAGTGTGGAGCGACAGTAGATCAGGTACCAAACAGAGTGCTGGGGAAGACCAAGCCAAGGGTCACAGGCTACAGGATTCGAAAGTAAAACAAGCCTGTAACTTGAGCAATAAGGTGAGGGCCCCACAGGTCTAAGGATGTGACACAGGTGCACCCCATCCGGAATAGTCCATTTAGTATTCAAGTGGGGGGGCGGGTGTGGTGGTTCATTAGCAATTCTGCGTGGTTGAGTCTGAGGTCTGAGAAGCCGTGGTGCTCGGTACATGCAGTAAAACATTTAGGAAATCTAAGAATATTGTCAGGATATGAGCAGAGCTGAGAGCTTCTGAAAACCTGGCCAGATGCAACGTGTCTAATAAGAAAGCAACTATAATGTATAAGGACAGAGTGCTGCAGACTAACGGGCCCGCGGCCCCCAGGTCCGGCCCCCGGGGCTCCATCAACCACTGTCTCTGAGAAGCAAACTTCAGCCGCCTTCCACACCACCTTTACCAGCATCTTCCAACATGTTCTGTATGCCTTTTCCCTTTAGTGGATGTCTTTGAGTTTTAGAGACCTTCTCCGGCATGCCGCCGTTCTCCCTCCCAGCGGGAGCGATGGGGGCATTATGGGATAACCAGACACGCGGAAGTGGCGATGACCCTGAAATCCCATCTCACATTAAGTGTTAAACGATAAAGAAAAAGAAGGAGAAACCTTTTGTTCTGAGCAGCGAAAAGGTCTTTAAGGCTCAGCAATAAAAATGCAATGGCATGGAAAACAAACACACAGCAACTTTCAGGCCTTATTGAAAAGTCACAACTTTCCAAAAAAAAAAAGAGAGAAACCATTTAAATCCAGGTAGGGCGACACAGGGGAGCTTTGAGCCAATGGACATCCATTGTTTCAGTGGAATATGTTATGCTTTCTAATGGTGTGATAACGAATAAGTCATATTTGTTCAGAAGAAACTTACAATATTCCAGGTACAGTACACAAAGAGCACTTTGGAGGCTTCAAGGCTGGACCAGAACAAGGCCTGAGTGATTCTGAGGGCAGTAATGCACAACAGGGTTCAACTATAGGACACAAAGCAGACA